TTTCACAATCTGTTCTAACCTCTAATTTGGCTTTTTATTTTTCTTCTGTCTTTACAATGACCTTTCACCTTCTTCAGGAATAATATCCTTGATGTCATCCCATAATTCCTCTTGTCTTCAATCATTGATTTTCAAGGCCTTAAACCTGTTCTTTAGATGATTCTTAGATACAGGTGGGATAGAATCAAGATCATATTTGTGTTCTTGTAGACTAGTTTTAATTTTATTTTATTTGAAGTTCAACATCAAGAAGATGAAGATTCTCACCAATAGGACCAGTGGCAGCACCATGATAGTTGGAGAAGAGGTTGAGGTTGTTAACAATTTCATCTTGTTTGACTTCATAATCTTTTGGCACCAGCAGTTAGGAAATCAAAGGATGACTTTGGGGAAGTGTGCTATCAGAGATATCTCCAAAGTGCTAAAGAGTGATGATGTCAGTCTGGAGACAGATCACCCTGATCAAGACCATTGTCTTTTCTTTTACTTGCTATACATCAGAAAACTTGACAATGAATAAGGATAATAGAAGAATTGATGCCTTTGAGTTGTGATGCTGGAGAAGAGTATTGAATATACCTTAAACTGCCAAGAGAATGAACAATTCTGTCTGGAGAGGGTTAAACCCATTTCTCCTTGGGTCAAGAATTTTGAAGCTCTGTCTCACATACTTTGGGCATGTGGTCAGGAGATACCAGTCCTTGGAGAAGGACATCTTGCTTGGAAGGGTCCTTCAGGGAAGACCCCAGATAAGATGGATTGACACAGTATATGAGGAAATGAGGTTTGGTGTGTCAGAGCCAGTGAGACTGGCTAAAGATAGGCAGGGTTCAGAGCTGTTGTACATAAAGTCACTATGAGTCACAGGCAACTTGATGGCACACAAAAACAACTCAATATTCTTTCAAAGACAGAAGCCATGTCCAGGTACTTGGAAAATGACACATTACCTCTTATCTGTAACTCAAAAAAATACTTCTAAACCTAGGCCTTCATTGTTTTAACATAATAGCAGGTTTGGGATTATTTTTCTTAGGGATTTGTTTTTATTTTTCTAATAGATTAAAACAAAACAAATTTTTATGATTTTTTTCTGTTATGATACATTCTATAAATTTTTAAAAAGAAGAGACGGAAACAAATATTTCTGAGACAAAACAAAAAGTAGAAAGTTATAGAAAGTTGCCATTTTCTTTCACCAAATGCTGAAGGAAATAATAGTTTCATTTTAGATGTTAAATTCTTCTGAAGTTACAGTTCTGTGCTCTGCATCTCCTGTGTGCAGGAGGCTCTCAGGATCAATTTCGTGAATCTAAAGGATATACTCCACTCTTAGCTCTTCTCTCTCTTTCTGCCTCTGTGATAGCTCACTTAAAATAATTTAAACAGGATGATAACGCTACTAATTTTCTTGGTGGGCCATAAACATCTTATCTGTGTATTTCCATCAAATAATTTGTTAGGAATTACAAGGCTCTGACAAGAAAGGTCATGTAAAAGTGATGTATCACACTGCAGCTGACTGGTTTTTTGATCGCTTTGCCTGCAGTTTTATTACTACGTTTTTGGTGGAAGTTTACAGAGCAAAGTAGGTTTCTGATCAACAATACCTATACAATTTTTTCAGTGACTTTGGCTATTTTCACTATATGATATCATTATCATTATCATTATTTCCACTCTAGTTTCCATTCCATTAATCTAGCTTCCCTGCCTTCTTCTTTCCCTTATATGCTCATTTTTTGTTAGGGTAAATGTTAACCTTTTCATCTCGTATGTGTGGTTTTTTTTAAAGAAGCACACTACTCAGAGGTGAACTAAGCCAATATATTAATTAACTAAAAGATGACTTAGAGTGGTAAGTTCAGCAGAACTTAAAGGGAATCTCAGAGCAATAGTCTCAGAGTCAATAAGTCTTCAGTCAATTAAGTCTAGTTTTTTTAAACTTGTCTAGTTATATTCTACCTTTCTGTCCCTGTACTTTTCAAACCAACTATTGTGTTCCCAATCAGAATTGTTGTTCATGGTAGTTGTACACTGCATAAGGAGCAGATGCAACATGGGGTGGGGGCAAGTCTGACTGCTACCCACTTCATAAAGGGTAACTGGCCCCATTAGTAATATCCATAATATCTAACAATTAGCAGACAGTCAGACATGCCACCCCACATGCTCCTATTCCTATTTCCAGCAATCTTTGTGTCCATTGTTCTTTACAAATGGACTCACAGTCTTTACTCATAGTTGTAGGTTTTATTAAAGAAATAGGTTGTGGAATGGGGAGGCAAAGAATATCACACAATACAAGTCTAGGTTTAGTCCAGCAGTCTCAAGCCAGATTAACTAGGCACAATTTCTCAATTAGTGAAAGTCCAGGTTCAGTTCAGCAGCACAAATGCTAGAAGCCTCTGGTTTTCCTCATCCGACAAACACAAGCCATCCAGCAGGCAAAACCTTTGACTGTGACTCCATCTCCATGGTTCCTCTGGTTACACCTTGTCTCAGGCTTTTACCAGTCTCACAGTCTTTTTTCAGCAGGGCCAGGGCCTATTCACACTCTCTCGATCACCATCTCTCATAATGTGGTAAGCACTCTCTTATATTGATCTCACAGCTGTTGATGATTTGCAAGACTACATATCTACAGTGAAATAGCTAGAGACCATGCCTCCAACAAAGGCTAATCCAATGGGTATAAAAGCCAATTTTCAAGGTTTCTTACACCACAAACACCATCTAGTTATTTTACACCGAGGAAAATAAAGCTGTAGTATATGTAGGTTATTAGTCCCTAAGACTGGTAGACCGGTTTTATCCTGAAACACATACATACAATTCTAAAACTCAAGAGTCTTATCTCTCAGCTCTTTCTGTTTATAGTTTTCCTCTATATCACAACTGACTTGAAGGCATCTAACAAAAATAAAGAAAATATCTCTATTTTGTAATTAATTTGTTCATATTTTTCTTGTTAAAGTACTGGAGTGTTTTATAAAATTTTATATGAATCTTTTGCAGATATGTCATTTCTGAAAATTTTGCCAGTCTGTGGGTTTCCTTTCTTTCCTATTGGAGAAGTTTTTTGGTACATACAACGATTAGATTTTAGAAGGTCCTAGTCAACTATTTTTTCTCTCCTTCAAAAGAATAAATAGATAATCCTGTATTTGAATAGGCAAAGGGAAGGCCAATCTGAAACAAATAGACTATCAGACATTATGTATACTGCAGTCAATAATCTGGACCAGGACATGCACTACAGGACAGATAGTGGGTGAAGAAAAGGAAAAAACCCAAGAAACAAATAAGGTAGGTGAAGGGAATAGCAAAATACAATAAGGATTTGCTTAAATATTGTAATAATTTATTTGCATTCATTAATGGCATTATTTCCTATAGGACGATTGTCTGAAAAAGCCAGTGAGGTATGTAACTTTCATTCAAATAAAAATGGATTTTTAAAAAAGTAAGTCTGTTAAGAAACAAACGAATGAACAAACAAACAAAAGAGCAACTGTAAAGATGCCAATCCCTAGAATTAAAGAGTAGAAAGACTTCAGGATGTAGCACAGCCTCTATAGAATCTTCTTCCCTTCTTCCTTGAGTGAGTGCACTCGTCCCACAGTGGTTCAGCCTTTCATGCTGGGATCAGGGTAGCACCTGCCATGGCTCCTTTGCTTCTGCTATGAGTTTTGGCTTTGCCTATCGAACATCAGACTTATGTACACACTCTGCTCTGGATGATTACATATCAGGAGAGAGCCATACCAGCAGGATGATAGCTGCCACGTTTGTAACACACAAATACCCAGTTTCTATGCCTACTGCTTGCCCATCCTATCCTTGAACTTGCACAAAGTCCAGATCTGGATGCATGGCTAGCCCTTGTTTGTTCTAGTTGCATACTTGGCAAAACTATCCTCTGCATCCACCAAGTATAGGCCTCAGGCTTGGTCTTGCAGTCTCCTATAAGATTTTAACATAATAAACTTAATGGATATGTAATATTGTACAGTGATTACCTGCCTTAAATATGATGTCCCTATAACATCCAAATCATATAACATCTTATTTTATTGACTGTACTGGAGACATTGAATGATATATGCTTAAATATTAATATAAATGTAGCACACATCTATATATAACATGCTCATAGATGTGTGAATACCTAATTATCCTTTGAATGCATATATGCATGTATATCTGCCTATGTAATCTCATACACATTTTATAGCTGTAAATGCAAATTTGATATGTGCATTTATCAGAAACATTAATTTTTCTTGTGTTCTTTATAATACTCTTATCACCTTGACAAAGTCTTATGTTTCATTAACATTCCATTTTGCCTTTCAGCCAATTAACTTCCAACAGATCTCTGGACATGAAGTGAGAGATAGATTCAGTCAGATAGACTGATTATTTCTTTTGATTAGTGATTAGAAATAATGTGTTTTAATTACTAATTTGCTTTTATGCTCATTGAACAAGAAATGATGACATACTTCATAAGAATTATCCTTATTACTTGAGTTAATATTTGCCTCAAGAGTTAAGTAATGATGACCTTAAAAATAAAACAACTTCCAAATATGAAAGAACAGTAATTTTATTTTTCCCCATTAAAATTTGCTACTCTAAAAGGATCACCTAGATAAACAAGTCTAAATATTATCTACTTGCTCAACACAGGAGTAGTAAAGGCATATGTCTATATCTGATTACACAAAAGAACATAATGGAATACATTGTAAAAGAGTGTTATCAGTGCATACCTCCAAAATCATTTCAGCAAGAGAGTTCCGTGACTAGAGTCCAGCTTGTTCAAGTTTCTTTTATATCATCTTCTTACTAGACTACGCTTTACCATTTGCATTTCTTAAATGCATTCTCAAATATATATTCTGAATAATTTGAGAAGAGTATAACTATTTATCTCAACTTCTTCATTGTGTAGTTATTTATGCCCATAAAGAGTTTTCTCTAGACTCCTTTGTTTACTGAGCCTTAGTTATTTTCCTGACCAAAGCCTTCTTTACTTCCTTGTTCCTCAAAGTGTAGATCAATGGGTTTAAAACAGGAGTGACCACAGTATACATGATGGCAACGATCCTGTCCTGGTCCATGGAGCTGCCCGAGGCTGGTCGAATATAAGTGAATAGAACAGGAGCATAGAGAAGAAAAACTACCATGAAGTGAGAAGCACACGTGGACAATGCTCTTTGAAGCATACTGCAAGAACGAGTCTTGATGAGAAGGTATATGATAATGTAAAAATAAGAGAGAAGTATGAGGAAAAAAGGCCCCATGGCAATGGTCCCTGTGACAGTATTGAGCAGCCACTGGTTGAGCTCAGTGTTCCCGCAAGCCAATTTTAGCAATGGTTTAATATCACAGAAGAAGTGATAAATATGGTTGGAACTACAGAAGTTCAAGTTGGAGGTCATTATGGAGTGTAACAGAGCGTGGAAAAACCCAATAGTCCACACTGTGACAGCCATCTGGGTACAGCGCTGATGGTTCATGATGACAGTGTAATGAAGTGGTTTGCAGATAGCCACAAAGCGGTCAAGGGCCATCACACCCAACAACATGGCCTCTGTGCTACCCAGGAAATGAAAGAAATGAAGTTGGCTTATGCATCCCACAAAAGATATTGCTTTGTTTGTAGAAACAAAATCTTCCAGCATCTTTGGCATTGTTACTGTGGAGTAGCAGATATCTAGACAGGATAGATTTCCCAGGAAGAAATACATAGGTGAATGGAGTTTTGGATCAATTATGACAACCACCAGGATAGCTCCATTCCCAGCTATATTGACAAAGTAGATGGTGAGGAAAACCACAAAGAGCAAAGGCTGCAGCTCTTGAACATCTGTCAGTCCCAGCAGAAGAAATTCAGTGACTGATGTTTGATTCAGCATCACTTAAAAAAAGGCAACATAATATATGGATCACTATCTATAATGACATGAGCTCTAGTGGCGTACTGGGTCAAAAGAAGCACTACCAAACTATGAAAGAGTATTTGAATCTACCAAATGCACTGAGAAAGAAATATGGAAAATCTCATGTGTAATTTAAAGCTTCTGAAAACCTTGGAAGGTCAGCTGTTAGTTATAGGTCAGTTCTGACTGGAAGACAAGAAGTTATTTTACATTATTTCCTGATGTGAGAGACTCAGAGTTCTTTTGTTGTTTTTTTTTTTTTTAAACTCCAATGAGAATTTTGTTGCTAAGATAAAAACATCTTGAGAGAGAATATAATTGCTTTATATAATCATAATATTACAAATTTAATATAATGTGAGGTATTAAACAGTTAAATGTTACATTATAGTTGTAGATTATGACTTGGTCATTCATTTGTATTTTTTATATTAGATTACATCTCAGTGATGTAAAGGATGCTGTAACCCTTCCATTTTCTCTTCATGTGAACATCTTTTATTCTGATAAAAATTTCCTTTCACATTTTTTATAGCAACTCTAATAGTGGGATTTTTAAAGTCTCTCACCATGTTATTATCTTTAAGAAGATAAAGATTCTCACCACTGGATCATTTGGCAGCATCAGGATGGATGGTGAAGAGATTGAGATTGTTAACAACTTTAGTCTGCTTGACTCCACAGTCAACACTCTTGGCACCAGCAACCAGGAAATTAAAAGACATACTGCGATGTGCAAGTCTGCTGTTAGGGACCTCTCCAAAGTACTGAAGAACAATAGTGTCACTCAGGAGACTAAGGTGCATCTGATACAGGCCATGGTCTTTGCAATCACTTGTTATGCATTAGAGAGTTGGACAATGACTAGGGAGGATAGAAGGAGAATTGATGTCTTTGAGCTGTGGTGCTGGAGAAGAGTATTGAATGTACCCTGGACTGCCAAGAAAACAAACAGATTAATCCTAGAGAGGGTTAAACTGGGCGGCTGCTTGGAGGCAAGGATTTTGGGGCTTCATCTGACATACTTTGGACATATTGTAAGGAGAGACAGGTCCTTGGAGAGGGACATCAAGCTTGGTAGAGTGGAGGGCAGGAGCAGGAGGCAAAGACCTTCTATGAGGTGGATTGACTCAGTGACTGGGGTAATCGGGATGGGTGTGTAAGAGGCAGTGTGATTAGCACAGGATAGAGCAGGGTCACTATGAGTTGCAAGCAACTAGACAGCACATAACAAAACAACAACAACAACAACAACAAAAGGTTTTTTTAAACTTATAAAAATTAGAACTCATTACAATCACAAATTCTTTTTAAGGGAAAGATAAAAATAATAGTTGTTATCTTTTCTCATCTTAGATTGTAAATAGGATTAGGTCTCTTTCTGAGATACACCTGTGGTTGTGTAATGGAACCTTTTCAGGAAGGGAAACGAGGCCACATTAATCAAGTATTATTATCAAGGTTTCTACTGAAAATTTTAGCACTGCTATGTCAGCTATAGGCTTGCATTGACACTAGTAGTCTTAATATTTTTCTGAATATAGAATCCCAAATTACTTCCATTCTTTATTTGGTCTGAAATCTTTCTCCTTTATCAAATCCTAAAGTTCTCAATAGTGTTTTTCCTACAGTAGGCTCAATGTTTCATTTATACCACCAAATATGGAACTTTTCTTGGAGTATCTATAGCTGCAGCTCTCTTGAAATCTTAACTTCTCTTGAGATATATTTCCTAGTTTAGACCTATTTTTATTTTGCCCGATATTATTTTTCAAGTTATGAAAAGGTTTCTCATTCAGTGGAATTCACCATCTTCACCTTTCATTCCGTTAATCTGACACTGGTAGCCACGCACCCTGAAAATCCATCTGGTGTGTATTAGCTCCTTTTAAGGGTCTTGGAAATTTCAAGCATTTCTCATTTTAAAAATAGACTTTCTGGTTTTTATGCACTTTCCATAAAAAAATTTCTTGTGGGGTTTTTTTTATTACATAAGAAATGCATGAATTTTAAGTCTAATTCTAGGTTAAAGTAATAGTATTTTCTTCCAGTGAATGTTAAAACCAGGTGTGTGCTGAGAGACAGAAAGGTTTTGAATCTTCTTTTTGCCATTATTTGTAAAGTATCTGACATTATCTCTTTTAGGTATATTGACAAAGTATACACACTTTTTTAAAAAAAACCCAAAAAAAAACCAAACCAACTTTCCTTTTTGTTGCTTTATTGCCTTATGTGGTGGAGCATTTTCTTTGGGAAAAAAAGTGAGAATACGAGGGCTATTTCTAGGGATGGGAGGCATTGAGAGATGATTAAGAATGTCAAGAAAATCTGATAATAGACACTGGAGAACTTTCTTTAAAAGTAATTCAATCTTAGATAATGCTAACAGAAGAAAATTATTCTAGATGACTCGTGAATTAATAAGAGAATGTTTCTAGAGGTTTACTGACATTTTAGGTTCTTTGTAGCTATTCACAATTTTGAAAAACTTTCTAATCGACACATCTCCTTGAGAAATTACTTCAAATTATATGTGTGTATGCATGTGTGTATTTAAGAACAATTCTTTCTAAAATATAAATATACTTTAAACTTGTTTAAAATACAATTTACATGTCAAACACAATTTTTGATTTTTGAACAGACTGATAAAATCTATTTAGGGAAAAAGGTGTATTTTAAAAAAATGTATTAGAAATAAGACTGAATGAGTTCACTCACTGAAATTTTGAGTTTTAGAGATATTTACTTGCTTTAGACAATGCCTAGAGAGCTAGACATGTTGAACTAAGAATGAGAATGGTAATAAATGTGTGGAAGCAAAATGTCTTCACAATTAACAGCCACAGTGAAAAGTCCCTCACATCACACCTGCTTGGGCATTTATTACTACCAAACAGATCCCTCACTAATAGAAAATAGGTAACTTCCTAGTCTGTCTCTTATTTAATTAATTCCCTTACCTGCTAGATTCTTCTGAATCATAGGTATAAGAGAGCATTTCAGATGTATATTTCCAAATAGAAAAATATTTTAAGTCATAATTCAGATTGGCATGACACCATAAACTCTTCATCTTCAAAATAATCTTTTCCTGAAATTCTGTCTGCCTTTTAATGAACACAGGTCTCTAGACATAAAAAGCCCAAGAGAGTGCTCCCCTGGGTGCTGAGAAAAACTGTTGAAAGAATAAACAGAATAGTTTTCCACACTTGCAATACTAGGGAATAATTTTGAAGGGATTTTAATCTTGAGTCCATTCTTTTAAGTCTTTCTGTTTTCTTGGTTTATTGTGTTATTTCCTTAGATTCAGAATCATGTACAAGAGAAATTGCAATTGTCAAACATATTCCTGCTCAGATGTTCTAGTATATAAGTACAGATACACTCACCCATCTTATAGTTCCCTTAGAAAAGAATACAGAGCTTACAGTGTAAAGAGAATTAACCATGAAACTTAAAGTTTTAACTATGAACCTTTAATCTGAACTGAAAGGAGCTTAACTCTTAGACATACTATTTATTTATTACTGTTATTTGGGGGAAAGAAAAACAAAAGAGAGAAACAGTATGGCCTTTTGTTCCCTCTAGATCTGACTCTTCACTTTGAATAATAGCTCCAAGTTATTTTCTACCATTTGGATATCCAAAAGCTCACATTTCTCGCCCCCCGTTTTTTAAAATTATTCTGATATCTCCAATGAATAGCTTCACTTCTTGATACATCGTTGTTGTTGTTGTTGTTAAGTGCCGTGGAGTCCTAGGTGATTCATAGTGACCCTTGTGCCAGTCAGATCTGATTTTATGGTACACACAAAAAAAATTAAAAAAATTAAAAAAAAAACATATAACTAGTGTCTGTCTTGTTAAAGATTCTTTTATGCTTTTAAGAGCTGGAGCTTAGCCACTAATATTCCTTTCTTTTTTTTAGATTGAAAGTGTTTAATATATTAAAAATCTACAAATAATTTGCACAATCTCTGACCCACCAAGTTCATGTCTAGAAATAGATTGGAGAAAATAATTAAGACTTGTACAAAGATTAAAAGATAAAGAAGCTCTGATAGTGTGACAGTTACAATTTTCTGATCCTTTGGCTGTTTCCATTTATGTTTCTTTTATATAGTTTCCACTTTCTAAAATATTTTTTCCTTTTTTAAATGAATTTTAATGAAAGTTTACAGAAACCTTGGATTTCCATTCGTTTATTGTCGCACTTTTCTCCTTGTCCACCCCTCCCTCTCAATTTGCTCTTCTCTATGAAGTGAAAGAAAAATTGTTTCATTGTTATACAATTCCTCCCTCCAAGTCCATTCTACTATGCCAGCCTTGTTCTAGAGGCCTGTCATGAAAAGAATACCTAATCATATATCCCTTTTAAACAGTTCTCTCCCTCGTCAGTTTCTAAAGTATTTTAAGCAGTTTTAAAGCACCCTAAGTTCAAACTACAACTTTTGTATGGCCTGCTTATTCTGTTTTAAAAGAGTTCTCCAGCTTCCTTCAGTCAGAGCTTCCTTCTGATCACCCTAACCAATGCCTTCTTCACTTCCTTGTTTCTCAATGTATAGATCAGTGGATTTAGTGCAGGAGTGACCACTGTGTACATGATGGCAACAATCCTGTCCTGGTCCATGGAGCTTCCTGAAGGAGGCTGAGTATAGGTAAAGACAGCAGGAGCATAAAAAAGAATGACCACTATGAAGTGAGAAGCACATGTGAACAGCGCTTTCTGAAGCATACTGCAAGAATGAGTCTTGAAAAGAAGAAAGGTAATAATGTAGAAATAGGAAATAAGTGTGAGGAAAAAAGGGCCCAAAGCAAGGGACCCTGTGACAGTATTGAGCAGCCACTGATTGAACTCAGTATTCCCACAGGCCAACTCCAGTAACGGCTTCAGATCACAATAAAAGTGATGGATATGGTTGGGACCACAGAAGTTCAAATTAGAGGTCATTATGGAGTGTAGCAAGGCATGG